TAAACAACAGTCAAGTCGCATTAACAAAATCAGCCTGGCTAATCTTTGCTCAGCAGGACCATTATAGAGGCGAATATCTCTAGGCATCGTCAGCATGCAGCAAGACAGCTAGTGGGAGGGATGCTTTTCCTCAATTTCCTCTTTGTAGGTGTATAAGAACATCAGTTGTTATAGGCTTAGTGTGTGGGGAAAGCGAAAGGATTTTTCTTTCCTTTTGTGGAGGCTCATCGTTTCTCTATATTTGTCAGTGTGCAATAGTTCACTTTTGAAATGTCTCCAATCACTCATTCTGAGAAAGTACTAAAGGATTTTGTGAGAAAACTTTACAGGGTAAATCATCCATACTTTGAGCACAATGATAATGCAGCATTGCCATGGAGACAGAGCTTAAGGATCTTCATTATAAAACCTGTAGATGATGTATGCTCTTGTTTAGCTCTACACTTTCAACTACCACTGCCACACTGTTACAAGGAGACTCCATACTGAGTGATTTATTCTTTTTCTGACAATTCTCTCAATGCCTTTGAGATGTTTTTAACTGATGCATGTAGAAATTGTCTTTATGCATCTTTGCATGCTTAAATCTCCAATGTTATTGGGGACCCCAAGGATATACATCATTGAGGTTTGGTGCCTCGTTGAGGATCAGAGAACTTAAGATGGTGGCTAAAGAGAGTCATCTGCAGGATGACTATATCTTTCTCTCTATCCTTTGAACCTCACAGATAATGCATTTTGTTTTGTCTTAAATTTGGATGGGATTGTAAAGAGCATCTGGCAGGTTAAGAGCATGATTACTGGTTTGAATAAAGCATGTTTTATAGTCCGTGCAATAAAAAATAAAGAAATCAGCAATGGACGATAAAAAACAGCTAAACAGATCGTGTGATGTAAAGATTAGAGCAGAGGTAACCAATTAAAAATCTACGGGGTCCGAATAAAGAAAATCAACAACCAGTAAAGGTCCGGAGACATTTTTAATTATAATCCGTTACTTTAAACTGAATTTAACACTGAAATAAAATGAGTTTTTTATGCATCCATGTCACACATTGACTTTTTAAATAAAAAAAATATAATGAAAAAAAAATTCCATTTTAAAATCTAAAGTCTTTTTTTAAAGTAGAGATTATCAATCATTCAGTTTGTTACATATACATTTTTCTGATTCGCATATTTTATAAAACATCTAAACTGACTGTTATTTTTTTCCTTTATTTTTATGGCTTAATGAGAGAAGACCTGCAAGGCTTTTAAAACTGGGTTTTATGGGCGACAAAGCCATTCTAAAGCACATATCAAGGTGCTAATTTTCAGCCTGGATTGATATTTTTATTTTTGATTATGGTTTTGGTAGGGAATCCTGCTTCGCAGCAGTAGGTTGAACCAAACATACTCAAAATGTGCAGGGTCCTCTTTGAGCACACCATTGCACTTTTCTTTCACCAGTTCCCCGCAGTTCTTCCAGCAGTCTGCACTTTTTCTCTACTCTTTCACTGACTGATACAGCTCATTGGCTAATTTGCATCACGTCCTGCCTGGTCCCGGAGGGCTTTACCGTACAAACAGGAGAAACGGGGGAAGAGAAATTAGACACTGCCATTGTACAACATGCTGTAATTTCTATAATTATGTTCAAATCATAATTATAAATCAGGGTGGATCCGGATTAGCCAGCAGGTGGGCCTGGATCTGGACTATGGTCTGCTAATCTGTGGCCTTTGGATTAAAGGATGAATCATAAGCTGTTTTCAAATTGAAACTGAGCAGCTCACCTTATGATCAGGCCACAGACATATTCAGTTAGCTTAAAACTATTATCGGGGTTGCTTGGTAACATAACCTGCATGGGGTTTACCTGAGGATCTGGAGGATTTGGGTCGTTTACGAGACCGAAACCAGCGCTGCCATTGTGCAGATCTTTTCTAGTGGTGTTTCTCCAGAGGCAGTTCCCTTTTAGGTGACCTGGAGTCACATTCATGCTTTAACCAGCAGTCTATGAAAGCCTATGAAAGCCTGGCAGCAGATAAAGAATCTGCAACTGTAGGGGAAGAGTGAACTGAATCTGTAGTGGAGGTCTTTCTCTAAACTTTACTGCCATTTTGTCCACCATAAACATGTCTAATATGTCTCTGGACATCATAGCAGTCACAGAACATAGTTAGAACTTAATTACAATTAATTGCTTAATTTACAGAAATTATCAACGCATTTGCAGGTATCTAATTGAATTGTTTCTAATTAAGACAAACTTACCTTGTTTGCCTCTCGTTTTCAATGGCTGGCCCCTCGTCCTCCCAGTTCGCAGCAGACAAGATGGAGGGAGCAATCTAGTTATAACTTCTGCCCACATGCTAGCTATTGCATGAGAAGTAGGCCCTGCATCAGTCTTCAATCACACACTCTACATGCTTCTGTACCTCTTCTTAAATGTTGTAATGTCACCTGCCACATAGTCCCTTTCCGCAAAGTCAACATTGTAGATCATGGAATGGACTGGTCAGTAAAGTCCTGGTGCTTAGTCTGGAGACCATGTGCAGCAAGACTTCAATTCTTACATCGTGCAAAAACACCCATTCACCATTTTTATCTTGCTTAGGCCTCAGATGCATCCTGCAACGACTACCTTAAACTGATCCGACAACCACTGTCTCTCGCACTAGTTTACCTTAAGCGATGTCATGCCATGTCATGGTTCAAAGGGTCACGTTTTTGAAGCAATGGGTTGCTGGAACCAATATTAAGTCTAAAACTATAAATAAATTTAAAAAAAAACCTTTTTTGATTATTTTTGCAGAAAATTCCATCATGAAACTAAGTTTCTCTTTAAATTTGTATCTCTCAAAGGTCTGTTATTTATATTTCTTATCTCTCCCGCCTGCTCGGTTCCTCGTTCTGGTGTACTAATTTTTTTTTACATTTTCAAACCTAATAAAGGTGTCTGGACATGGTAAGACGATAGAAAAACTCTCTTTTCTAACCGGGGTCTTTGTGCTGACTGGTATGAAATATTTTTGAAAATACAGTTAGTTGGCAGCAATAGGATAAAGCTCATACACCTGAATTACACAGTAACTATTATTGCATTAAAAAAACAAGCTTAGCAGGACTTGCTTGTAGCCAAAATGCTGAGGAGAGCTTTAACTCCAGTCCTACTCAGAATGGATTGTTTTGTTTGCAGTCTGGATCCACTTTGCTGAGGGCCATGATAAGATCTCACTTTGAGGCCAACGTAATAAACACCGTTATCTCCCCATAAACAAAAGTGCAACATATTTATAAACCTAATAGAAACTTCATCTTGAGAGTGCCTTCTCCAACACAGAAAAGAGAGCTGTAAAGTTATTTCAACAAATACAGTGTGCTGAAACCTGAGGTGAAGTAGATGATCTATTAGAGCAGATTGCAAGTAAACAGCATGAGAGATGAATCCCTCTGCTGTGGGTGATTAAAGGTCAGAGGTTTAAAAGCATAAAGATAAATGGCAAACATGACTGAACTGGAAATGAACACACACTTTAGAGAAAGAGAGCAGGACAGGGAGGTTGAAGAAAATTGCTGTATGGAGGCAGTTGTTTGGGGGGGCTAAAAGCAGGATGGGAGCTGAAGGCAATACAGAAAAACAAACAGACTCAGGCAAGGACAACCCCACCCTGCAACCCCCCCATCATCTCTACAAAAGATTAAAGTGGATGTCCGGTCTCAACTAAACCTCCTGTTCACTTCCCATGTTCATTTGACATCACAGTGCAGCAAAGAATCTGAAAATCCTCCAGAGAATATTTCATGCCAGATGTCAACCTCTGGCTGTCTGTTTGCCTAGCAGTGGGGTCATGTGATGATGACACATACATATGTTAAAATTATTCTTTGATTTTTGGTGTTTGTATTTGAAAATTAGTTTGCAGATCTTGTTTTCTCTTTTTTGTTCACTCCAACTTTTGGGTTAGTTTTGGTAATCCAAACACTGGCTTTTGGATTTTGGGAAAGAAAACAAGTCGGGAACGACCTGAACTTATTTCCCGTAATAAAATAAGATATTTTAAATGTAAGAATACATTTAAAAAATATGTGCATGTCAGCAGGTTGTGAACTCACATTAGTAACTTTTTCCCTTAACATGACACCAATGTTTTAGCTACATAGCTGTTAGTATGAGTTAGTGATAGCTGTGTTCAGCATTTAAACCCTGACATCATTATTTCTGAAATGGAACGATGGAATAGACAACATATAGTATATAGTTACATAATATAATTTGTTTTATCTTTATTGGTGCTGCTGTTCAGACTAAACTGTGCAGACAGTTTAGTCTGCACAGCAGCAGCATTCCCTTACAGCAAGAAGATCCTGGATTTGCATCCAATTTGGGGTCTTTCTGTATAGAAACATGTTCCCTGAGCAAGTATGGGTTGTCTTTGGGGACGTTTCCCACAGTGAGGTTATTTTGTTGCTATAAATTGCCCTTAGGCCTGAGTTTCTGTTTGAGTGCATAGTCTGTCCTAAGTCAAGTTTTTGATGAATGCTACGTGGCTTACTGCCCAGGATGGAATACAGCCGAAGGCCGGCAAATTGCACTTTAGATGAAAACATAAACATAATCTGTCAGTTGTGACCACGACAATTTTCAGTTGTTTGCATGTCCATTCAGTAGAGAGTGGGCGATACACCGCAGCTTAAAAAGGACAGTAAAAGTGGTGTCTGATTTGAAGTTTCTGCTGAATTAAAGGATGTTTCTGCTGCCTGGACTATATTTAGTTTATTATTCTACTGTAAACTTTCTTTTGTTTTTCACTGTTTAACAGTGTTGACTAACCTCTCATATCACCAGATCTGCAGTTCAGCTGTCAGTCAAATATTATTTTAGACAAAAATCTCTTATTATACTTCTGACTACTTCATTGATTAGAAGAGAATGTACTCTGCCCGGTGATGCAATAATTTCCTTATCTTGCAGTCATCACATTGATTTCTCTCTCCCTGTGTCTTTTCTGCAGACTCATACTCAGCAGCAGGGAGTGAGGGCAGCATTTCCACCTCTGTGGCGTCGCTGCCACCGCAGCCATCAGGCAGCTCGGCCCCCAGCTCGCCAAGCTCTAGACGCTCTGTCAGTACCCTAAAGAAGTGGCTTACAAACCCTGTCCGCAAACTCAGCGCTGGATCTGCTGCCAAGGGGGAACGTCAGGTCCGAAGGCTTGAGGGAAAATCCCCTCCTATCCCATCCCACAGCCACAGCCAGGACCTCGGCAGCCCTATGCGGCTCGATGAAGCGTTTACCATTCTACCCATCACCCACAGAGAACGGGTGAGAAGGAGCAGTAAAACTCACTTCCAGGATGCTTTCTTTATTTCTTTAGTTTGTGGACATATAAACTAGTCAGACAAGTCTTAAATTTGCAGTCTGGGTTTAACTTTATACAGATGAGTTACACCTCCCCATAAGTAAACTCTGAGATCTAAATTAGACCCAAATCTTCTCATGCCAAGATCTTTTAAAAACTGGATCCGAAGTAAATATGCAAAGTATCTGTCTTGTATAAATAGAATTATTAGCTCAGGTCATGGCAAACTGCCTCTTGTTTGCTTTATGTAGCTAAGACATGTCAGCTGAGATGCAAGCATGACATTTAAAGTCACACATTGGACAGAAGAGTTAATGCTAGCTCACCTCTTTTTAACACTTTTTTTTTATGTTTCTCAATGCAAACTACATACAACTCAGTTTTATACCATGGCTGTTTACACAGTTCTGGCCTAAATGTATGTGTTTGCGTTCAAGGAATGGAAAGATGGCCTGGCAAGCCCAGAAGACCTGTCACCAGATTCCCTACATCCGCCAGGTTACATGAGTGCTTCGCCTGCTGACTTCACTTCACTGCCAGACAAGCAGGTTTGCCAATAATAACTCCCACTCAAATTGAATTCATTGTATCATAGTGATTCTTTCTTCTAGTTTTAATTATGACATATTTCTAAATCTGAAAATTCTCTGAAGACAGGTATTTTATAATAATTGTAAGGTGCATAACATTGTGTTAGAACATTTTATTATAAGCAACCAATTTAAAGTAAACATGTAATGTCAAATGAAAATATACAAGGTTTACAAAACTGGGCAAGCTGAAATTTTAATAAAAATTCAAATGTGTCTAACCCTTACTCTGATACCCCTAATTAAAATGCAGCTCACTGATTGACTTAAATTGCATGTGTTCTTCAAAGGCCCTAGAGGTTTATTAGCGAACAGTACAATAAAAACCAAATATGAAGACCAAAGACAGTGGTCAGGGCTGAACTTAAAGATAGGTTTATTGCATTATTTGAATATGGAATAGTAAAACTGCAAACATACCATGACCTAAATGACTGTGTATTTATGATAAACATACAGGCCATACAGAGATCCACTGCCCAAGTGGAAGTACGGTATATGCAAACAAGGCATCAATTGGTTATGCACTCTACAAATATAGTTTTTATTTTAGAAAAAAAATGTGTCTTTAAAGCTAGCAATAAACCACATAGGAACAGCAAACAGACAAAAACAGTTTTTTTGTTCAAAAGAGATCCTAACTAAACATGGGTGGACCCTTAGACAAAACACTTTGAGTTGTAAAACCCTGACAATATATATCATCCTGAGAACAGTGCCACATTGCAATATAGGGTTGAAGGCATCATTTCAATGCTTTTCATCAGATAAGGAAGCTGGTCAGGGTTGATGAGCAAGTAGATGAAGCCAATGCAATCCTGGAAACTTGTTTCCCAGATAGAGCATATATATATATATATTTCATATTAAGTTTTATATCAAGTTTTAGTGAAAATTGAATTAGACTCTAGAGCACAACTGTTTTTTTTTTACTTTTATCATTAGGTTCTACTTTGTGTTGGTCTACTGCAAAGAATCTTTGAGAAACATTGAAGTTTTTGGTTGTAAAAGTGACAAAATATATATATTAAAAAATTATTATTATTAACAAGAACTGACAATTACAAGAACTGAATGTTCAACTATAAAACAAGACTGTTTCTTCAGTATGAATAAGCATCCAGTTTCTGAAAAAAAAAGGCAGTAATATTCTGAGCGAGATCTAAGCCTTGTGTGTCTCCATTGCCCTGCATTCCAGTCTGGGAAGGACTGCTGGGGCTGAAGTAGCCCTCTGATCAAACTATGAAAACATATAGATACCCTGCATGATGTATGTACATGCCTGGGGTCATCCAGCTGTGTCATAGTAGAATGATGCAGCAAAGACCAGACGGCAGAGTTTGACCACAGCAGGTGCGATTCATGACTCACTTTTAAAATGTTACAAAAGGACCAGCCAAGAGGTAAATAGGAAACAGTATGGCATCACAGATGAGATGAAAGAGTGGCATATAAAACACAAGAGTTTCCATTTCTCCATTAAGCCCTTGCTGTCAGCTGCTTGAGGGAAAGGAGCATCTCAGGTTGGGTGTTCATGTGATGCCTTTTGGCTGTAAATAAAAGCTCGCCAGACGGCGGAGGCTGTTTGGAAAGAAAAAAGGCTTTGCATTAATCAGCTGCACCCGAGGCCTGTCAGAATGAAGCAACACTGATGTCTGAGCGGTGTGGAGTATCTCCTGTTTAGGAATCAACACCTGAATAGAAATCTCTCTCTCAACAGCTAAATGGATTACATCATTAGGATGAGGTCAGTTCCTTGGTGTTTTTATTGCAAAGCTTTGAAGACTGAGCTAAAACTAAACAAGGGAAGACAAAGACAAGGCTGCAACATCATGTAAGCTGGCGGTATTACTCATTTGTTTCATTATCCTACTCACATTCATTCATCAAAAATATTTTTTACATGCATTATCAAACAGAGTTTTTTTTTTAATGATTGACATATGTTGCTGTTTAAACTGTTGAATTCTGTATTTTGTGGCTGGACATACTATAAATAGTTTGAACTTCTTTGGGTGTTTGGATCAAACTTTAATTGAAAAGTGTTATTATTGTAATTATTGTTTAAACTAAAATAAACCGAAAAAAGAAGATTGATAGAAAAATGATAGTTATACTCAAGCTGCTCCTATACAGTTCAGTGAAACAGCCAGATGCTTCTAATCCAGTGTAAATGAATAATTCATCATCTGGAAGTGTGATCATCCTTATAAAAGGATATTTGTTGGCAGTTTACTGGTCTGGATTACACAGGTGTGTGTGTTAACACAATGCCAAGTAGGATAGACATCCACGATGATCTCAGAGAGTTGCTTTCGATCAATCTGGGATTGATTTCTGAATAACATACAGTCTATCATTCTACAATTATTCACAAGGGGAAAGCATTTAAGCCAGGTGCCAACCTGTTCATAAGTGAACATCCCAAAGTCACCCTAAGGAAAAAAGTGTTTTATGCTTATAGAAATAATAAAAAAAAAAATGCTTACCGGTAACTTTATCCTTTAAGCTTTAGTTCAAATGTTAAAGAGTAAAATTCATGATAATGCAACCAGAAGAAAGAACCAGTGAGACTTGAAAACATGAATAAAAACACACCATACAACTTTCACAATAAAGTCAGGAGGAGTAGACCAAAGTGAAGATGTTTGATGAAAATACACATCACAGCAAATGCCTAGCAACGTGTTGGAAGCGTAATGCTCCGGCCTTAATGAATCAGTGAATAAAAGCCCTATATCATCAGCCTTCCATAGTGAACTATAGGCATCTTTTTTTCCCAGCATTTATTGTCATTACACTGTCACAACGAAATGAACTCTCTGCATTTCACCCATCCCCTTGGGGAGCAGTGGGCTGCCATCGGCAGCGCCGGGGAGCAGTGTGGGGTTAAGGGTCTTTGCTCAAGGACCCAGAGTGGCAGTCTGTGGGAGTGGGGCTCGAACTCAGAACCTGAGGATTCCTAGCACAATGCCCTAACTACTAGGCTGCCACTCCCCTGAGTATTATTTTTATATATATTTTATACAAAGGCTAAATAAAGTCAGAGACATAAGCATACTAAAAAAACATTGCTGTCACTGTGCAGATTAGATCTTAACAGAGCCACTTTGTCTTAACTTTGAGCTGAAATGATCAATGACACTTTTCCTCAAATCACAGCTTTCTGATAGCAGAACGTAGGCCTGTTTATTTGTGAGGAACGGTGCAGTAAAGGTACTGTAGGTGCCTCCTGAAAGGGGCAGGTAATGGTCCTGTCTTGGCCCCTCATTATTAATGAAAATTACTCTACGTGGATGAATCAGCTAAAATTGCACTTTATGTACGATTTTGATGAAAGAATTGCATCATAACATAGTTTAAAACTTGTTGGTTTTGTTTGATATATGTCCTTTAATACCTCAGAATTGCAGAGTCAAGTGTGAGGCCATCTATTTAAGTCTGTAGCTTGGCTGTAATTGGATCAGACTACAGGATGCAGACCTCATCAGCAAGTTATTAACAGCATGGTTGAAAAATTTTTTTGTACACGCAGGGCCCCTGGAAATAGCTTTGAACAAGGGGTGCTGTGAATTTTTTTTTTGTGCCTAATGTTCAGGCAGCTCTGAGGTCGTGGAGATAAAGTCTCTCATAAGCGGAAGAAACACAAATGCATTTCTGTGCCATATTTCCTCCTCATTTCACTCATTAGACTATGTAAATTTACAAGTCTACTGCTGCGAGCGGGATCCCACACTCTAGCTTGCTTTATGTTGCCATGACAACGTAACTTCCATGAACTTGTGTTAATTAGGCCTCAAAATAAATAAATTAAGATCCAAATATACCTTATATTAAAACAAAAAAACATTAAAAAGAAATTTATAAATTGTGCAAATATTTTTATTAGAAATCTCCTTTTTGGTATAGGGGGTGCTGCACCACCCCCAGCACCCCCACTTCCCGCAGCCATGAGGGCATGTAGGAGCATTTTAATGAGCTGTGTTTTAAAGCAGTCTGCAATTACTGTTGCAAAAAATATGCAATAAAATTCCTGCATGACAATGTAAAAAGGTTTAATGCAAACAGGAAAAATCATCCCCTCTAAGGTATAGAGGTAGTCACACAAAGAATTGAAGCTTTTCTACAGTATATGAGATCCACCTTTGCCCAATAAAAATGGGGAATCTGATGTATTTTCTAGACTTTAGGTCAAATCTGTTTAAAAGGATAAAACCTAGTAAAGACCAGATTAGTTTTTTATCAATCCAACAAAACTATTAAGGGAGCATTCTTGTTTAATTATTGATAATGATAAGGTATGATTCTGTGATGTTTATAGTTTTACCCTTTGTAAATGGTCCAGAGTACATGCTGTAATTTTCGCAAATGGCTTCTGTCTGTTTTTAATGCAATGTTGCCTCAGCTCACAGGCATTCCCGTTTAGTCTTCAGCTTTCTCCCCTGCATTGAAAACACTTTTTCAAGATTTTCAGCCTCTTTAAGTTTGAGAACATGAAAACCTTTAAAGCTGTGTTGTTGTTTTTTTGTTTTTTTTTTGGGTCATGTTTTACTTTCAATCTCACTCCTATGACATAACTGTCAGTACAGATGGTTTAAAATTTTTTTTAAAATCATTAGTTGTTGTCCTGTTTTTCTTTCAGAGATCTCTGGATATTAAAAAAATAAACTTTAGAACAGAGGCAGATGGGAATTTTTCCTGTGGGTCTTTGCCACAGCACATCTGGAAATGATCAGGGAGCCAGGGAGACCTGTCAGCCAGGCCAGGGATCTAATAGCAGGGGAGAAAAGATCCAGGGGAGCTGGGGGTCTGTACAGAGCTTCTCCTTCTCACCCTAACACACTATTGTCCTGTGTGTGCCTCTTCTGGCATTTCCAGCAACAGAACAGCAAGTTAAATACTTGAGTATATCAAAGAGATGACAGGTGAACGTTTTGAACTAGACCAGGGACAAGAGGAGAAACGTCTCTGCTGTGTTATGTTTGCTTGGGTTTAGGAGTCAGCCCATATTGTATATATTTTTAATTCTCCCTTGAAGAATCCATCCTGTCTTAAAGTTACAGGGATTACATGAATGTTGTGGCATGTCTATATGTGTATGTGTGTTTCGGTTTAAGCTGCAAATGTCCTGTTTGAGTGGGAAAATGGGATGCAGAGATTTGTGGCTAAAATTAACCAAATTTAACAACATATCACTGTGAGTCATTTAATAACCACATATTCAGAATATCAGGATTATGGATTATCTGATATTCTGTGATTATAATATTATAGGGCTATAGTGGAGGGATATATATATATATATATATATATATATATATATATATATATATATATATATATATATATATATATATATATATATATATATATATATATATATATATATATATATATATATATATATATATATATATATATATATATATATAAAACTCTGAAAGCATTCTACATCTTTTTGCTCAGATACCTTTAAATACTCCTGTTGTCTTTGGGTCATAAGGATCCAAAAACCAAGTTTAACAGCCAAAAACGAACAAAAACTTTTTTTGTTTTTGTTGTTTTTTTACTTGAAATTTAATTGAACCCTTAGGCATTTTCAACCTGTGCAAAAAAGGTAAAAAGAGTCTCAATGACACAACATAAATATGTTAAGATTTAGGTTTGCCTTAGATTTGTCAGTAGCAGACAAAAACATGATGAGACACGTGGTCTTGGCAGCCAAGGGGCGGCACTATACAGGAGGGTGTCTAGAAATGTGGGAACATATAGAATCTCATCACTGAAATGGAACAATATTACCATCTGTGCACCTGTCAGTATGTGTACAGCTTCTTATCATGCAGAGAAATAAAAAGAGCATGTAAGTAATGAAGGAAAGTACAGATTCTCATGATTCAAATGTGATTATGGTAAAATGGTAAAAGGAGTGAGAAAACTACAAAGAGCCTTACACTACATTTAGTCTTTTCCCCATTTAGGGCGGGCTTAAACTGTGCAATACTTTCAACCTTTGTTCACAGGTACAGAAAAGCACACCTTGTACTCAGCGTGGTATAGAGAAGATGCTAGTTGGACTTGGCTATTTGGAATTAAAATCAGAGAAGAAGAAGAATTCCCATATTTGCATATGCACAATGCACAAGGCCGAGGTCAATCGTGGCCACATGTATGTAACTCTTTCACAGAAGAACTGATTCATACCTCAACCCGAAAGCTGAATTTCCTGTCAAAACTTGACAAGTGGTATCTCCTAAATAAATGCAGTCTTTAAGCCATGTAAAAAGGAAACATTCAGGCAATCACTCAATTTGTGGTAAAAAGCAAGTTGTTCTTTCAGTCAAAATAGATTTGGTGTTTGAAATTCAGTTAAGCGGCTCTAAATTGGGGTTTTTGTGAAGCTAGGTTATTATGAGCCAGAGGACATAGGTAGTTTATAGAATATGAGGATAGCAGGAGGGTTAAGTCAAATCTAGTTAAACCAAAGGCTTTCTGAGGTCACCTAATTACTAACTGGAACCCATCTGTGTGTCATTTAATCTTTGTGTAAATGCAGCTGCTCTTTGGAGGCCTTAGATGTTTATTAGAAAATGTTAGAGAACAAACAGCAGGATGAAGATCAAGGTAAACAGCAGACGAAGATGAAGTTATGGCTAGGTGTAAAGTATGGAAAGGGTTTAGAACGATATTCCAGCCTTTGAGCATCCAGCTGGTCATCTAGTAATGCAGAGGGCTAAGCAAAGATGCATACCTATCAGAAAAACTATCTTTGGAGAGGACATTTGGTTGCTATGCACTTTATGTTTATGTAAATTCCCATTACTTTTCATAAATTTGACTCTTCCTGGGGTCGCCTTTATAAATCTCTGCTTCAGGTGCTCCGTTCAGTTGAGAACAAAGTTAAATGTTTTGGCTCATTTGTAAAACTGCACATCAACTGTAGACACATCATATTCAGCCTGACACATGTTAGTATCATGCTATAGGAAATGCAAACTACAGCAAGGACTGAAAAGTGTAACAGTCTTGATAGGGATATGGATCCATTCATAAATAGGGTAATCATGAAATAAAACCTGTTAGAAACTGCAAAACACTTATGGCACCCTCCAGCTGGAGGGTGCTAAATAGAACCGAGCAATAATAGAATAATTGAAATCAAATGGGCTATGGTAGCTTATTGAGAGTTGAAAGCAAAATACAATTAAGAATCTTTGGGGATAATTTTATCTCTACATCTGCCAAGATGTTAGATATATTGCTTCTACAATTTTATTAAATTGTTGTTCAGGTGTAGGGAATTCATATGAAAGCCTTACATCTGATTGAAGGCAATCTGTTACGATGGGGTTTTTTAGGCTTTATATGGAAGTGGAAATTAAAAAAATATTTCTTAAATGTTCAGATGGTGGAATGATCTATGACACAAAATTCCAAAATGGAAATGGAAACAAAAAGTGCAAAGGAGAGAGATATTTTTTAAGGCATTGAGGTGATAGGCCAGTTCATTTTAAGGGAAGCTTATGTGAATAATATACAAGATTAGTAGGTAGATTGATAAAGATTTTAACCAGTTCAGCTAAACTTTGTGGATGTAAAAATTTCCTATTGGAATCCCATACAAGGAAATGACATCACTTCCAGGAAAAAGCAAGAAAAAAATGAGGTCACCTATTCAACACATGAGCACAATTGATCGGAGTGAGGTAACCTTCTGCTTATCCTGTTCGCTTTGCAATCACAAAAAAACACATTTTGAGATGCTGACATAGAAACAGTACCAATAATGTACGTGTTGATAGTTAGAAGAAAGAGAGAAACCCTAAAATTTACTTATTAAAATATTTCTTGTACTTTTAAGAATCTTTGTAACATCACATAAAAAATAATGTGCCCAGTGTGGTAGGTGTTTGTGTTCGGCTTCCCCAGGAGCTAAAACTTTACCAAGAAGCTACAGTTTTATTATATCTCATAGCTGTTTCACATTTTGCACTCTAACACTTGATTTATCTCTTGTAATGTGTGACAAAAGCCTGATCATTAACAGCAGCAATCTGATTCCAATCTCTTTATCTTTCAATCTCTGTTCCTCGTACCCGTCTGCACCTCCTGGTCCCCTTGGCAACCGAGATTGTTACCATTGCTCTTCTGCTCTTTATCTTCCTTTGTTTATTTTATTCCTGGCATGATCCACATTACTGGCACAAGGCCACCGATAAACAATCAGTCTGTCTGTCTGTGTCTCCTCAGGACACTCAGTCTACCGGTGTTCTGCCTGACGACAGCGAGTCAGTCTTGATGGACGACACCTCCAGCCAATGGTCCACTGTGGCTGACACTGAGGAGGAGAGGAAAAGTGCCTTAGAGAAAAGCATGTATGTGCTTGATCAGGATGAAGGTCCACACATTATGCATGTCTTGACAGTCTTCATTACTTTATTGCAGCCATTTATAAACTTGACCTGCCGCAAACTACATTATGTTTCAGCACAGCTGCAGAATGTCAGGGAAGATTCAACCCCAAAGGCTGTTATCTGTTCGGTGGCTCTTATGAGAATTAATGACCTTGTTTTTAGTTTTATGATCGCTTCAAACAAGATGCCAAGGAATTACCAAAGGCATTATGACATTAACACGACAGCTTATCTGTTTGCTATTACGGATCTTTTTTATTTTTCCTGGTATTGTAAGACCAAATGCAAACAGAGAGAAAATCCTTCAGTAAAAGTTTTGGGCTATAACTTCTTAAGAAATGATATTCTGTACACATATTCTGTACAAAACGTGCACTAGTTACATGCTCTTCCAGATGTACTTCTTTTTATATGAAAAGACAATTCTTGTTATTGTGGATACAGCAGTAAAATGTTTTTATATGTGGATATTTGATTGATCCTTCTTATTGGTCTGCATTGTGGCAAAATAGAAAATGTGCACATCATTACAGCAGTGCTTAGGTCAGATAAACATTAATTTATTATGTTTACATACCAGCAAGGGATGCAGAATAGCTGGAACTGTTTAACTATGATGGAGTTGTGTTCATATCTCCTCAAGCTTTTTCACATTTCAAAATGTTTAAGTCATACACTTTATTACTTAGTATTAATATTTTTAAGTGACAGATGAAAACAAAATAGCACATGATTGTGAAGTGAAAGGAAAGTGATAAATCAGTTTTTAATATTTGTCACGAATAAAAATCTAAAGAGTGTGATGTCACTATGCATTCAGCCCCTTTACTTTGATTGCTCTGAATGAATTGAAGAGCAACTACGTGTTGTTAGTTAAGCCTATATATATATTTAAAATATGAACTAAGTTGAACTAATTGGGTTTAATGTCAACAGCATCAGAAGAACAAGAAACATATCAAACAGGTCAGGGATAGAGGTGCAGAAGGCCAAGCAGTTTAAACCCTTGAAGATGTGATAAAGACCTGAAGGGATCAATTCAATGAAATGTAGCTCTTTTTATATTTTTCCTATAGTGTCAATTCACAACACATGTCGCCTCAAGGCACTTTACAGAGACAATTGAATCGAGTCATACAGATAGATTGGTGAAACATTTTCTGTGTATAAGGAAACCCAACTGATTGCATTGAGTCACTGACTTTACAAGATTAGTTAATTCTGGATGAGCATGTGGCAACAGTAGACATTTGCTTGTATTGTGTCATTGACTCTACAGCATGGGCGTAGGTTTGCATAGGGACCATAGGGACATGTCCCTACCAAAATTTTGGAAGGAGCTATTTGTCCCTACCAATAATTGGATGTAAACAACATGTTTATAATTTACTATACAGCAGCCGCTTCTTTTCCTCTCACAGCTTCTCTGCCTGGTAGCTGCAGCTGCCTGCTCTTTCCTGTCCCTTTCACATAGCAGCGCATCAACTGTGCTGCGCGGTTTAACTCTCTGATTATTCTGCCTTAAGTTCCGCCTTCTCTCTTTCTGATTGCGTGTTTTCTAGTCTGTATGTGAGCGCGCGCGGGTGCTTGGAGCGCGAAAAAAAAAGACGCTAAAATAAATTAATATTGGGCTACGAAACTAGTCCAAACTAAAAAAAAATATTATCTATTCTAAAACAGGCGAAAGCTTCTGATTGGAGTTCTGTAAAGAAGCAGGAGAGAGTTTTTTGATTTGTGGAACTTGAGAAATGTAAGTTAACAACGTTAGGATTTCTTTTATTTTATCTTTTAATCAGATAGCCAAAGGCTCCTTAAAGAAGATCTTTTATAAAATGAAACCAGGTGAAACAGAAACGTTTAAACGTTTCCTTTGGAGGAGTTCTGGATGGAGAATATTGACAGACAAAAACTTTTTTTTTTTTTTTTTTACTTCTTAAATGCTAATTGTTTACATATTTTTTTACAATCTTGGTATAATTCCTGCTCTAAGTGGGTCGCTCTGTCGGCTAAAGGCACATTTTAGTGGCCCTATACTCCAGTTTACGATTAATCAATTACTAAATTAGTTCACGATTATTTAAATAATTTGTTAATATGATTAATTGTTTCAGCCATAGATAAAATACATGAAATTAGCTACACAGAGTAACTACAGCCCAGATGTACAACTTCTAATATTAATATTTTAAATGCTCAGTGTCAGTTCCTCTTCTAGTTCCAGTGCACATGTTAATACAGTACATTTATTTGCCGTCCCTTGAATGTTTTATTTTGCATTATCCAGAGAGAGCATATTAGATAAAAAAAAAATAAAAAATAAGAGTGGGTTTTACCTCTGTTTACCTCTGCACAATTCTATATCTTCAGAAGAAAACACAGGATAAATCCACATATTATAGACTATATTTGGTTAAACAGACACTGTCTTAGTCGCAGGTAAATTTAAATGCAATCCTTTTCAAAGTGGAAAAAATCCTAATTCCACATTCATCAGAGCCAGTGATGCTTTAAATATTGATAAACAGCATCTAGTGCATGTAGTGATTATAAGATTTGTATTAATGTTGCAAGAAATGCTGCTGTTCTCTTTAAACAAAATGAGCCCTGAAGCTCACATTAAGCATAAAAAAGAGCATGCATATTTTTGCAAAGGACCAATGAAACTGAAGAATAGTGTCCCTACCAAAGTTGAAATCAAACCTACGCCCTTGCTCTACAGCAATCCCCCACGTTGAGCATGCATGCAGCAAAACTTGAGAGGAAAAAATTTAATTTTAAAAATGACAAACCCTCAGCAGAACCAGGCTCTGTACCTTCTACTGATGATGGTTTGAAGAAGAAACAAGCAAACAGACAGAGGACACAAGGAACACGCTGTGGTCAGATGAGGCTAAAATATAACCCCTGATCTACATGCAAAATTGTCTGTTTTTATGTATGTTTATGTACAATAGTGTGTTTGTGTTATGTGTAAAAATACGAAGGGATGTAGATGTATATAGAGCTTGTTGGGAGCAGTAATGGGGTTTAACAGCTGCTTGGAGGAAATATCTGCAACACATTCCTTTATAGATTTAGGATGCTGCAGTCTGTCAGTGAAGAAGCTCTCAGCTCGGCAAGTACTTATAGATAGTTAGAGGGCGCAAAACACTTGAAAAAGTGAAGCCTTTGGCACAAAACCAAACATACTGCCGTATTTAATCATTTTTTATATTTCTTAAAGAGGGATTTATTCCAGTAATTGTTTTCACCACGTGAAGCACGCCTTATGTAGAATAATAATTCACAGATTTATGTTTTCAAGCTTTTATTTATGTTAATTATGATGATCACCTGTTTAAAGCAAATGAAAACACAAAATCTAAGGTTAGAATATCAAAATATGTATATAAATTTGCAAATACAGACATGAAGGCTAAATGAAAATTTAATATATCACACCTACATTTTTTTGGTTGCTATTGTCAACAGGTCCTTTGAATCTGACACATAAACCTCATATTGTAATGATTAAATGTGACTCTATATAGGTAGAGCAGATAGATACATAGCCCAGAAGATCTGCAGCTGTGGTTATTAAACAGCTGAGGGGGGCTTTACAGAATGTTAAAAAAGAGCAGGTTAGCTAAAATGCATGCCACACTTTTCAGACCTCTATTCTGAATTCAGTATTTGAACCATACACCATATCTCTTCGTCTGTACTGTTATGAATTGATATGGTCTGCTACATACCATCCTAAAAAGTGCAATGAGTACTGGTTGTTCTTTGAATAAAACAAGAGGCATGAATATTTATGCAAGGCATTTTATATTCTGTCTGTACCGAATTCAGTTTAAGGAACAACCCAATCTTCAACAACTTTCGTACTGGTTTGAACTGAGTTTAAAATGATGGTTTAGATGCGAAAATTATGTCTTGGTTTGCAAGTCAACTTATGACTCTTAAAATCCATTAATTTTGGCAAAAAGAGAAATCAGATCAAGGAAAGCATAACAAAATTTTACATTTAAACCGTAAGTGGTAATGCAATTAAATGAAATGACATTCTGATTTGGGCTGTTTTGATTTCAATCAGACTAAACATACACAACTGCATCTCCATTGTCCTGTTAACAACCAGGAGTACTTTGTGTGAAATAAAGTATTTTGTTATTTGATGAAAAAACTGAGATTAATAAAATAATTCTTGAAAAAGAGTTATTAGGAGGAATGTAGAAGGTGGGTATGAGAAAATATGATTTAGGGTGAGGTAATTATGAACAAAAAGATGAGGCAAACTGTGCTGAATGAGTAAAGATTATCCAGCTAGAAATAAGTGTTTATGGTGATCAGGGGTGATATTCCAGTTTCGAACCACATATTAAGGAGTAATGTTACTCATACCTGCCACACACCAGAGGGCCTCCTACCCACTCGGCCAGTGTGTTAAATTTGCAGAAAATATCATTTAAGTAGTGCATGCAGCATGCATGCAATCTGATCCATAAAGACTTTAGCATGACTCAGCTCCTAATTAGCTACTGCTACTTCTTTTCTTTATTTATGGATAAAAAAAGAGACTTTGTTTTTTTTAGACACCTGCTCACACTTCCTCCATGAGTACTTAAAATGTTAATCTAGTTTCCATAAAACTGAAAAAAGGGAAAACTAAATGTTGTTTTCCAAAGCAAGAGGCTACTTTTGATATTCTTAAATAAAAGTTGTTTAGTTTAAGCAGTGTACGATATAAGCATGACATACATAAACTGACAGCTATTTAGAAGAAAACAAATGCTTCTGAATTGTTGTGCAAAGCAAAGCATTATTTTATGCAATCTGCTTCTAACCTGACTGGTAATCTGCAGCTAATATGTTTTATACTGAAGTTATGCAGTGATATTTCAGGCTAATTTAAAACATGCGTGAGTCTACATTTTTTCTGTGCGCAGCTGATCTGCTGGTAGTTGACTTCAAAAAACATTCACAAAACATTCTGCTAAATTAGATTTATTCAAGTAAAAGTGCACAAATTAAATACTGTCTGCGTTCCTCCCTGTAACATGCTCCGATTCATTACGTCTTTTCCAGATAAGCAGCAACCAAGTGCTTTTTTTTTTTTTTTTTTTTTTTTTTTAGGCAAAAGGAAAATTCTTCAAATTATTGAAGAGCCTACATGTGTTTTAAGGAGTAGAATACTTATGCTAACACTAATCATTTCCACTTTCTTCCACTATAGGTATGTACTGCAGGAGCTTATAGAGACAGAGAAGTACTATGTGGCAGACCTGGGTTTCATAGTGGAGGTAAACCTCACAGTCTGCACTGACATTCATCCACCCAGCCTATCAAAGAGAACTTCAGCTCCTAATCATCCCAATCCCTTCACTTTGCGCCTCGCTTTGGTCTGCATCCATCCCACCGTCTCCAGGCCTAAGCAGATTTAATGAATTATAAGCCTAAGGAGTATTATATTACTGCACAATCCATCTCCTGATGCTTTAAATAGCGGCAGATATTTTGGTTTAGAGAGGAATTCTTGCCATCTGAAAGTTAATAAAAGATTAGTTTTATCTTGTGTGGGATTGCTGCTCTTTGCTGTAACAACTTAGCTATTTACCACTGGTATGATCGAGTTTTTGTTCTTCTTTTGTAGGGCTACATGGCCACAATGAGTTCCAAAGGTGTTCCAGATGATATGAAAGGAAAGGACAAGATTGTTTTTGGAAACATTCACCAAATATATGACTGGCATAAAGAGTGAGTCCAAACTATTTAAGGAATTTTCCCTGTAAGGGGAATGCTGAAAGCTCCATGTTTTAAAAGCAGACAAAGTGAAAGGAAAACTTTGATCTGCGGTTGTGTCCAAGTGGAAAAAAAGAAGGAACAAAAGTTCACTAAGTAAATCTGAACTTCCGTTTTTGGGAGGACGGTTATGTTTGTGTATTTGTGTGCCTAAAAGTGTGTGTTTCTGTTTGTGTAGCTACTTCCTGGGAGAGCTGGAGAAGTGTTTGGTGGAGCCAGAAAGGTTGGCTCAGCTCTTTATTAAACATGTGAGTATATCTACACATCATGTAAAAGTAAACACATACGTGTACAAAATTGGAGTAGGTGGGTCTGTGTCTGCTTCCTTGCTGTGTTGGGTGTTATGGAAAAAAAGAAAGGAAAGAAAACAGACAGAGCTCTTTCCTTTCCTCCCTCCACTCCCAGCGATGTTGCTTCCACTTCCCTTTTACTGATATGCGTCGGTCAGGTTGGGCTTTTAACAGCCCTGCTCAGTGAAATCAGTCATCCTGGGGGATTTAAGAGTCTAAGCTGAACCAGTCAAAACAAGCCAAAGGGAAAAAGAAGAAAACATAAAAACAACCAATAAAGGAAGATGAAAACAAATCCTCATCTTAAACTTTTTGATGTAAAACTATTGTTTTCCCCCAGAACCTGAATCCCATCTGTTGACATATCCAGTGCCAAGAATAAACCAGAAACACAAGTGCAAGACAAAGTTTCACTATTAAGAATGACCTTTTACCACTTTATTTATATAGCAACATAAAACAACAACATGTCGGATCGAATCGAAAAAAACAAAAAAAAAATCAAGTGCAAAACAGTCAAGACTGCAAAGGTACAGACTGGGGAGGTTATGCAAAAATGGAACAAGTAGGATAAAAAGTAGCAAAAAGTGAGGTCAGCTTTTTTGTATTGCTGTGCACTGCAAAAAATCTAAATCAAGATAAGTTATTTTTTCTTAAAATAAGTGCATTTGTTCTTGAATTGAGGAGGTAAAAGATACATTTTGCAAATGGAACAAGACAATTTACACTTAAAATAAGAAAACACAGTTGAATTCTCTTATTACAAGAACATATTATCTAATTATCTTATTTTAAGAGTAAAAATACTCATTCCATTGGCAAACTATCTAATTTACCTACTCAAATTAAGGTTGAATACACTTAATTTAAGAAATTTGTACTTATTTCTACCTCGTTTTTGCAGTGTGAGTTTGCAATATATCTGAAGCAAGTAAAATTATTTGGTCTACTGATCAAAAGGAGGAAGATCGATGGTCAAGATGGATGCAACAGTTCAGGGAGATAAATGCAGCCAACTTTAAAGGAACTTTAAAACTTAAAAATATTCTAAAACCTACTTTGAAATAACCAGGAAACCAATATAGTGTAGCAACCAGTCCAGGGTGTACCCCGCCACTCACCCATAGACCCACAGCAACCCTGACAGAATAGGCAGAAGATGTATGGATGGATTTTCCACAAAAAACTCATGTTTCTTTGTTTAAAAAAGTCAACTTCCAAAATTGTAAACGTACCTTTCTCAGCAGACGAGGGCAGAGAGGAAAGGTTAATAAAAAGGGGCCTGCAAGTGATATTTTGTCTAAACAACATATATTAAGGGTTTTGCTCATTAAGATAATTAAGTACTAATCATCCCCCATTTAATTTGTCCATCAATGGAGAAAAATATCTCCAAACAATATCCTACCTAACACTTACCAGTTTTAAAGTTTTCCAAAGTACCAAATATAACAGTTATATATTTTATTTCACTTATTGAAGGATACTCTAACTCCTAAAAATGTAAATCATGACTATTTCACACCAAGAGGCATAAGTGCTGAAGTGAGAAGTCACAAATCTGCTTCCCGGGAAAATAAATGTAATAATTGGTTGTAATAGTATAAAAATATAAATTAAATGTATGAAAGATTTGCACCACCTTATAGCAGGTATTATAAAGGAAGGAGGAAGACCAAGTGCTAAGCTTCATTTTACCCCAGGGAAATGTCTGTAAAGTTGCAAATCATGAATTTGGACACAAAAATGTCTTGTTGAAACTTAGGACCTAAACAACTGAGTAGCTGAAGAGATGATTAGAGTCACTATAACGTCACAAGGGGGAGTAAAATTAGATTTATGTATTTTGGTTAAGTGGTGGCACATGCAGTCTTGGTAGACTCGAATGGGCAGTTCAAGTAGCTAGGCTTTATTTCTTCTTCAAACATAATTAAGTCAAAGATCTCTCCTTTTTCTTTCTGTTCCCTCATACTCTTATTGAAGCTCATTTTTGGAATCCAGAAAGATTTAACCCCAGTGGATAATCAACTTAAAAAGCCTGTAGGGGATTAAAAAAAGCTCCAACTAAATCTAAGCACGGTGTCAAACTGTGAAAACAAGCAGACTGGGAACACGGCCCTAATGAAAAGCAGAAAGCTCGAGCTGCTTTTAACAAGATCCGTGTCACCAATATGCACCCTGCTTGCTCACTTGCACACATGGCGCCTGTAAACACATGTAATAACAGATTTATACTAAGTACTAGAGGGGCTGACACACAGAATATTCATTCATACATGGACAAGGACTGTTTATTCTATTGCATGCAGTCAACAGATCTAGGCGGGCCAGTTGCTAGTTGCTGTTATACATGGACAGGTTGTAAAGGCTCTGGTTACAGAGAATGGTGGCTTGGGTAAATTATACATAACCTGCTGCTCATTTACATATAAAGCCATAAGGTCTCTTAGGACTGCAAATCTGCATTCCCCTGCCAAATAGTTACAGTGGAGTAGAAATACCAGACAGTGTCAGCTTCAAAGATGCAGCAGTTGCAGACAAATCACTGTTGTGCTGCTTCTCATCCCAACAGAAACCAGACTAACTAGACAAAAGACAGCCCAACACATTAACAAAAACTCAGGGTGACCCCCCCCCCCCCCCCCCCCCCTTTTTTTAAATCTTCCCTCGTAATGTCAAGAAGCAAACCACATCATTTCGTTACTATTGCAAAAAAGTTCAATTTTTGTTTCAAATGTTAAGATTCTATATTACACCCTGTTTTTATCTCCTGTTTGGAAAAGTGACCAGCAAATTCTACAATAAGCAATTAGCAATGGTCACAGATAAACATTTTCCCCCATCTTTTTGGCTGCAGTTTCAACTGCACTACGTCATGCTGAAAACACCATGTCAGAAGATTTGTGCACACTGATACCCTAAGGAGCTCCCTTTATGTACATGCAAATCAAAAACATAAATATAATAACTTGACATTACTGTTTGATTGCTGTATAGCTGGATTTTTCTGTAGATGAAAACTAAAGTAACCCAGCATTAGGTAGCCTGTAGCTTATCCTCATTTGTCCTGTTGATCATATCCTTCAATCTGATGCTGCTCCATGGCTACACTCTCTCTCCGCTACTTTTTCAGAGTGCCTTGCCTTGCTTTAACTTGCCTTTTTTGGCTCCCTCCTTTTTATTCTGACTAAAAGCTACAAACTGTGCAGAAGTTGTTTCTTATGTTTGCATCCCATGAAGACAGTGAGGACACCTTGCTAGGATGACCCCAGACACATTGCTGCAATACTTAAATGTAATGGAAAACCACTGGTGTAAAGTTGAGACGACCTGAACTGAAGCGAATAGAATTGGTATCATAGTGCTGTTGGAGACTCTGTAAATGGTCCACATATGCAGCACTGAAACAAAATCTATGAAAACGTCTGGTAAAGTTGTGAAAATATCATTGCAGTTACCAGATAAAATTCAGCACTTAATCGCATTATGTTATTTGCTGAATCTTTGCCTGGACTGTTATTATTCACATGAATAACAATGAATGGATGAATGTACATATGCATGAAGGATGTGATTCTTTTACAAAATGCTTTTTAATTGAATGCAATTGAACATACATCTTAGATATTCCAATATGTGATAATAATGTGTGCAATTTAGATGTATTTGTTATGTAGTTATAGTTTAAAAGGCAATTGTAGTATTTACTAATTTGTTCCAAAAGCCCACTGGATTGATATTAAATGTGTCTTGTCTTGGTTTCCAGGAGAGACGTCTTCACATGTATGTTGTGTACTGTCAAAACAAGCCAAAGTCGGAACATATTGTCTCAGAGTATATTGAGACCTACTTTGAGGTGAGAAATGCCAAATCCTTTAATGGAATACTAAACAGTTAAATCTGTGGCTGATGTTTTCTCCAAGCCCACCTTGAGCCCATCTGTCCCATGTTCCCTAATGTTTAACGTGTATCGATGTCTGCCCTGTGGTTTAATAACCCTGAATCCATTTCGGTCTGCCACTTCGTTCTCACAATCTGACTTTAATCACTTTAGATTTAATTTGATTGTATTGGCTGTCAATTTGAAATGTTGCTGACATGACGATTGCTTCTGTTTTCTCCCCTTTTTTTCATCCAGGAGCTCCGACAGCAGCTGGGACACAGGTTGCAGCTCAATGACCTGCTCATCAAACCTGTGCAGCGGATTATGAAGTACCAGCTTTTGCTCAAGGTAACAAATGACGCGTTTCTTTGCTGCTGACCACACACCAACAACCCAAACACATGCAATGGGCAGCTGTCAGAAATACACACAGCTGTGGCATAGGGGCTTATGTAAACATCATGTGCTTAAATCATCAAGACACATACTGAACATATTGTCTGTCAGGCTGCTTTACGCTAACAGAGGAAGAAGCAAATTAGAGAATGAGATTCTCTCCCTGCCAGAAGACTTAAACACAAACACATAAATGTCTTTGAAGGTAATTGTAAAATTCTGGTCAGTTGTGTAAAATTCCTTCTACTTTTCTTTTTAGCACTCTAATGAATGAATGAATTAAAAACCCATAAGCAGAGCACCAGATGTCCTCACCTCACTCTGAGTAATAAACCTGGAATGCTCTGGTTACCATGCTGTGTTTATTTTCTACAGGACTTTTTGAAATATTACACCAAAGCTGGGATGGACACTGAAGAGTTGGAGGTGGGTGTCCTGGTGGAAACATTTCTGCTTTAAAGATACCTTTGAATGTGAGCGTCCGTGTAAATAAAGTGAATCTTTGTCATGCTAACAGAAAGCAGTTGAAGTGATGTGCTTCGTGCCAAAACGTTGCAATGACATGATGAATGTGGGTAGATTGCAAGGCTTTGAGGTATGTATTCACTGCAGCTTTTCAACTGCATAAGGTAGAGGAGAAGCATCAGGCTTCATCTGTTTTTCATGTCTGTGTGCCAGGGAAAGATCACAGCCCAGGGAAAGCTGCTGCAGCAGGACACCTTCACCGTCACAGAGCAGGACAGTGGCTTTCTGTCACGAGCCAAGGAGAGACGAGTATTCCTGTTTGAGCAGTTGGTTATCTTTAGCGAACCCATCGACAGAAAAAAAGGCTTCTCCATACCTGGATACATCTTTAAAAGCAGCATCAAGGTGTGTGAAGAAATAGTAAAAAATATCTAACCACCCACCAAAGTTGTGAGTTACACAACAGATCTGCATAACACTAATTCTAAATTAACGTGTTATGTAACTACCCGCTGTGATCTCCTCAGAGAATTTACCAAGCTAATCACCAGGATGTTTTTCTCCCAGGTGGTAGTAAGATTGTGATGTTTTGCAGGTTAGCTGCCTGGGGGTGGAGCCCACTGTGGATGGTGATGATGCACGTTTTGTACTGACCTCACGAAACTCGGATGGGAGTGTGGTGAGATACCAGCTGCAGGGCTCCTCTCCAGAGATCTGCAGAGCTTGGGTTAATGATGTGGTTCAAATCCTGGAGAGTCAGCGCAACTTCCTTAATGGTATGATCCGACATGATTAAAACGATGTCCGGTATTGCTAAGATTCATAAATTGTGTTTTTTTTCCACCAATCTTTGAGCATGCCATTAGATTTTATTCAACAGATTCAATTAAAAACCTGCTGTATCAAAAGATGCCTACTTTTTCTCATGTTCTGACATTAAAACATTCTTACTTTTCTTGTTTAAGATAAGTTATTTATTTGCTTAATGCCAACATATAGAGAAGTTACATCAGAAAGATTGCTTGACGTTTCAATAGTCTGTAAAATCTTAGGAGAAGATGTTATAGCATTTTAGTTTCTGAAATTTGGGTTAGGTTGAAGTGCATCAAAGGGTATTTTAAGATACATCTCATCTTTTAAAACATAGAAAATATGCTTGAAAGTATCTGAAAGAGAACAGTAGGCCTTTTCAAGTGTGGTTGATTTTTGGGCACAACATCAAATTGCATGAAGTTTATTTGTTTAAATGATTATTCATAAAAATATCGATTCTGTGGAAATGTCCTGGGATGATATAATGGTTTTGGTCCTGCAGATGAATGTTTTGCAGAACAAAAATTTTTGCATTGAACCCAGAACAAATGCAAAAAAAACCCCAAAATCTCATGAAAATGTTGACTGCAGTTGGTAAGAAATAAATGTAAAATACAAAAGGCCATGTTGTAAATCAGAAATTCACTCCTAGATGCATGCCTAAACAAAGTGCACAATTTTTAGCAGGCATGACCTGTGGTCTGACCAAAATGACCATTGTTACACTGTGTGGTAAAGGGGTTGAAGCCTTGAGCTTGGTGTCATAATAAAATGGTTGGCTGAGCTGCCATTTTATTGGGACTGCTGTTTGCAAAGCAAATTTCCTATTAGGGATGATCAGTTTTAGCAGCGATACATTTCTGGATCATTTTTTGTATGACCTGACATTGAACTCAGACTGAAAATGCATTGAAAAACAATTCAGAATTTTAGTCATGCGCTGCGCCTGTAAGGGAGTAATGCCCACTTTAAGGAAAGCTTTTTGTTAAACATATTCTTTCTAAACATAAGTCATTAAACACTCTGTGTGTAAAGTTTAATAAGTCTCCAGACGTAAAATATTTTAGTAAATAAGCTATGAGAGGTTTTAGACTTGTATCATACAGTTTGCAAAAGGAGATAAATATATAAAATGTTAGTGGTTTATAGATATGGATAAAATAAAATATAAGCATCTTTTTAGTCATTGCCAACTTATGTAAGAGATTATCAAACATTTAATAAACGGTTCATAACACACTAGAATTGTTTATTTTGTATGGGATGCTAACATCAATGAGCCTCTGTGTGTTGCTCCAAACCTATAAATAATGGATTACTACATGTCATAACACTGTTACATCAACAAGAACTGGAAAAAAGACCTTGCCACATAATTAAACTAATGGGGCAAAACCATAACGATGCATACATTTCATAAAATGCTCTTTTACACACTTGCAGAAATGTGTCTAAAGTTCCTCCTTTTTCATTTTTCTCTCAGCCTTACAATCACCAATCGAATATCAGCGACGAGAGAGCAAGTCCAATAGCCTGGGCCGCAGCATGAGGCCCCCTCTGTCTGCTGCCAGTGACTTGCGGCCCCACTCATCTGCCTCCATTGACCGCCATAAGCTGCCCTCCCTCCACTCTCACAACACCTCTCTGCCGGCGCTCTACTTGCCGAGCCAAAGCCAGAGCCAAGGGCCGAATGAGACCTTCTCATTGAGGGGTGTAGGTATCTTAAGCTGTAGTGCTCATGTGTGCAGTACCACTGGTGTTCCCCTTTTCAGCCCAGTTTTTCAGTGCATACTACTCTAGAAACTTATCTGTTAACATGAGGATGACAAAGGGAGGTCTTCCTGATGAATAGATTCACAAAAGTCTGCTTTTGACTGCCAGGATTTGTTTTAAATTAATCACTTATTTTTATTTTTATTAATGATCTTCAGTCTGTTTTATCTCTGATAGATTAGGTTGATGCACAGGTCCTCCATAAGTGGTAGGGGGATGTTAAGAATTTAAATATAGCTGGAAAAAAGCTAGATTTGATTAATATCTTTCAGTACTGACTGATTTACTTTTTCTTGCCCACATCTGCAGGCCATTGTGGTGCAGCCATGCTCTGCTGACTCCCATACTGCTTCACCATCACATGTCCGACTGGGTCTCTCTGATCAGCCAACCTGTCCAGCTGTATCAAACGGGCTTTACACTCCGGCCACACAGTGTGCACAGGTAAAGCATAAGCAATAGTTTGGTGCATAATTTCAAATATTGTGCTATTGAGTCAACAAGAAGGATGACAAGCAAGCTGCAGATTGCAGACCAGAGAAAAACAAGCCACTGGGGAAATAATTACAGACCATTTTGCCGCATCTAACAACAAATTAAACTGCAACACTTTATATATACACACATGTCTCAAGGAATCTTTTCATTTAATAAGGAGAGTAACATCCCCCCCTTATGGAAGAAATGGGCATAATCCTAATCTATCATAGATAAAACAGGAAACAGATAGACTGAGTAAGAAGACCATTTATTAAAATAAAACTAAATGGATAATTTTAGAGGAATCTTGTCTGTCAAAAGTAGAATTTTGTGAATTTGTTTATGTAATCATCAGGAAGACCTCTTTTTGTCATTTGGCTAACAGATAAGTTATAACTAAACAGGAAGTAGGCCTGCGCCAGACAGGGAAGGCAGAGAGATGCCTATCAAATGCACATAATTGTTTCCTAGTCTAATGATGCAATATGAGCAACTACAGTGATTAGGATATTAAAAAACAATGAACTTTCTTACATTGTGTCACTTTAAAGAAAAAAAAAATTTAATAAAATTTTACTGGAAATATAAGACCATCGGAGGCACTGTATTGTATAGTTGAAGATAATGTTTTTTAAGTGTCACTCAATAGACCAGAATCAGAAAAAAATATCTAAAGTGTGTATTCTCCATCAGTTTTTCACATGCAAAAAGTGGATTTTCAGTCTATTTGGTCTCATCAGAACAAAAGGCCTTTCTCTCTCATTACGTCTGCAAACAGAACTTCCTACGTTTTTCTTTTAAAAACATTGCTGTTTACACCTTCCTAATAAGAGCAGGAGCTTCATTTATAAAGCGAGTGTATGCACAAAAAAGTGACTTGAAAATTGTGTAGGCAAACTTCCACACAAAGGCTGTGATCTACAAAAAACAGTATTGGAGTGAAAATATTCAGCTCCTCAAGCCACTCCGACCATCCATAGGGGAACACAAATTTTGGAGACAGGGAAACTGGTGTCACTTATGGTGACTGAGGCAGGAACCTAAGCCAGAGTGCATCATAATTCCCTCAGACATTTAATTTCCCTTCGGATTAAGCCTTTATCATGCATCGCCTTTATCGGATCTGAAACCACAGTCATAAATTTCAAAACAAAGGTTTATACACCAGTTTGATTTCAAAATGAAAGTCCACACAACATATTACCATTTCCTCACATCACATTTCTTACCTTGGTGATCAATGAGGGGACTTCCACAGATAAACATATCTATTAGAAGGTGTGAGGATTTTAAAAAGTTGCTGTAAAGATAAAAAAAAAAACACCTAAACAATAATATATGATGGTGCATGATGGAAGCTGTGACTATGCTAGAGACTTTAGAGAAAAACTATCATTTTCAATGATTAACAATATTTACTGACCCAGAATGGTGACTGATTTATCAGCTGATCAGACTCCATACAGCATTGCTGTTGGATCTATGTTCTGAAAGGATTGGAGGGACAGACCTGCTGGAACCAAGCTGTCCCTGTTCATCACAGGTGATAAACAACTCCAATGTAAAACAATGGTAGCTGGGTGATCGGTTCTAATGAAACACAATTAAATATCAATTAACAACCTGTGGTGTATAATATATAATTGAATTAAAGGTAGGACTAATGTTTGATATGGATGAAAAACGGACAAGGCTTCATGGCGCAGTCATTTTATTAAAGACTCGAAATAATCCATGAATTAGGAAACATCTAAATAAAATGATGTCCCAGAAAAGCTGCCATTTTTACCCAAATTAAATCTTATTTGATGTTTACCTAGATTTTCGTTTCAGTTAACAGCTTTTGGCTCTTGTCGGCTATTACCAGTGCTAATTCTCCCACAGATGTTAAACATCGCCAACAATTAATCGACTCTCTGCCTAAAGTAGCTTAAGGGAACAAAATAATTCTGAGTGTATCCATAAAGCTTAGATATCACCGTCAGAGATAAAGGTAATGCTGCCTAGATGTCCCTGTTAATATGATTAGTCCATAGATCAGACTCTTTGGGTCTCATTAATAGTGCTTCTTTTATTTACGCAATATATTTTTTTCTTTCCACCTCACTCACCAACACCTAAGTTAAACTGTGCTTTTTCTTGCTCTCTTTGCTGTGGTTGCCATTAGTAAATAAATAAATAACATTGATCAGCTGGCTTATTCAAATGCACAGTGACATTCATGAAGCGCCTTGCATGGACCTCTTATGGTTGAACGTGGGGGTGAAGAGGGCCGAACAGGAGGTGGAGTCTTTGATGCAGCTGTTGATCTTAAAAAAGGAAAATTTTTTGGTTTTGTTTGTGCTCATGTTTTTATAAATCAGGATATTTTCATGGCTTATTCCATTATCCAGTGTTTGGTAAATTTTTAGTATGGATTCTATGCAATATTTAATAATTGGGACCCCAGGGCTGGCACACATAAAGGATCCTAGGACTAAAAGTAGCTTCTTGTGATGTCATAAAAAAAGAAGATAAATGTAAATATGTTATTGAGATGTGTATGTTCTCCATGAAATAGCATTTGAAAAAAATGAAAAAAGTTTCAGAAAATATAAAGATAAACAGAAAATCTAGCCAAAATAAAGTACAATAATATACACTCTATATACACAGAAAGGGGTGTAAATAAGGTGAATAACATTCCAGGATGCTCTGAAATGCAAAGAGAAAGGCATTCAGTGATGCATTTCCCAGTCAGCCTCTTTGTTGCTCTCTGATCCCAGAAGGAAATTTGCCTTTCAATACTGCTTTGTTCTCCTCTCCAGTAGGAGCAGGTGCTGTTCTTCTGTCCAGTTTACTTTCAACCTTTATTTACATTTAATGTAAATAAAGGTTAAATTAAACAGCTTTATACAACCAGGCACTGAGTGTACAGCATTATCCAATAATAAAAGCAAAATGACCAGCATGATGAGTAAACATAGCAATAAGCACATAAAAAAAGGATGTAAATTATGTATATTTAAACACAGTGATGCAGTGTGAGAATTAATTATATTTTGCTAAATTTGATTATGTCACACATTTCATAATCCTGTCTAATTATAATCTCTTAATTCATCTGCAGTGATCTCTGGCAATGCCTTTTTGTGTTTTTTTTTCTTGGTGTCGCCTATTAACCAATCACAGCTCTTGGAAGATAGTGTCACAAAATTTAAATTTCTCTTTAAAATGTTGCCTCCTCTCTCGTAGTTGCTCTCAGAAGCTAGCTGAAACAATCTTAAGCTATTTTAGAGGATTCTGAGGATCTTTGTGGATACAGGCCTAGAGCTGTAAAGTCCACCACTAACAGTTGTACTCTAGAGTCTCCATAGGCCTCTTGATTTAGGTGAATGGCCACTTCTTTGCATTAGTGCACTTGAAAGGTGCTGGGTGAGACATTTAAAACTCAAAATATTGTTTTATAACAAAAAAAAAACTGCTTTAAACCATTCCGCAACTGTACCTGTGAGCTTTTTGTTGTGTCCCTGGGTCTTTATGATGGGGTTTATTCACTTCAACTTCACAGAATAACTATATTGTACTGACATTAAATTGTATTAGCAGATGTACTCTATAATCAGTTGCAAGGGCGGTAGTCTTTAGCCTCGTGAGACCATCCTGATCTTGCGAGCTTTCAAGATTTCACTTGCTAATCAGTCTGGAGTCTCTCCGTTGAAGAAAATTTGGAGCCGTTCACCAAACGAACATCCAATCAGCGTTGGCTTTGAGGCGGGTTGAGGTGTGACGCAACGAGAAGTGCGACAGTTCTGTCTAAAGAACATGGCGGCTTCAGCCGATGAAACTAGCGTTAGCGTGGCTATCGAGCAAGTTTTATCGGAATTACTGAGTATTCACTGAAAGAAGAGCAAAACACTGCTCTTGAGGCTTTTCTCAGAGGAAAAGATGTTTTTGCTCTACTCCCGACTGGTTTCGGCAAGAGTAGCCTGGCTGTTAGTACGTCATATGCTTCGTTGATCTGATTGGTTTATTTTGCCCGTCTATCACCAACATAGGCCAATCAGCTAACCTGTATTTCCCCCCCTTCCCAAAATTACTTCAACCGAAGGTTTCCAGATGGATATGCAGAGCAAATCCATCTGGCGGAGTCAGGTTAGGTAGTCTTATTGATACTGCAGTTTTCAGATTTGCATTAACTCAATAAAGATTATAAGACCAAAGTTTATATCCGTTCAATTGTAAAGTGCAATATCCCATTAAAATACACAAAAGTACTGTACATGTTATTAAATCACCATTATTCAAAACATTTAAGTGGTTTAAATACTCTTCCTGATTGCCTTACGTATGCAAAGTAAAACCTTTTACATGCACATAGTTTTAACACTTTCATTTACCTGCATAAATTAGGAAGGATTTATAGATGTGTTGTAAAAGAATAAAAAATCTGATCTCTCATAGACTGTTGTCTATGAGAGCGTTGTTCATTGCATTGATCAGAGTTCCATTCTTTCCCAGCAGAGAGCAGGAGAGGGCTTCCGCAGAGGTTCCACTTCTGATGTGGTGACCCAGGCTGCTCTACCGGGCCCCTCAGCTGGTCGGCGCCCCAGTAACCTAGCCCAGCTAGCAGAAGACGACCTTTGAACTCTCCTGCGTCAGGAGGACAGTGGCTAATGCTCCACCCGTGAAGACACCACTTGTGCACTGTTTGTTTAGGCAAGGCTGTGGTGTATGTTTTTTTTGGGACTTTTAAAGAACCTGAAGTATGGAGGAACCATAAGCTGAAAAAACCCCCAAGATATATATATATATATAAAAAAACTGCTTGGTTCCCTTTTTGAGAACCACTTAAAAGGGAGTTGATGTGGCCTTGATCACCTCCAGTGAACACCAAGAGCACCCAGCGGGATGCTGTTGGGTTCAGAATGAGAAAACACTCCATGATATGACAATTTCTGCTTTCTACTTTTTTTTTTGAAGAGTTTGTATTCCTCTCTTTGAAAGGGATGGAGTTAAATCTTGGATGATTCCATTCCTAATTGGGGCAATCACTGGAGCTAGGTGTAAATGTGTGTTTGTGCAATGATTTGTGGATGAGTTAGTATGCATGAAAGCGGGCAAGGAGTGACTCCTTGTTCCCTTTAAGTTTCATTCTGATGCCCTGCGTTGAAGACATACACAGTATGTTTTTAACCCCCCCTGCTGACACCTGAGTATGCTTTTTATGTTGACAAGAAGGGGAAAGGAGGAACATTTGATGTGGGCATCACAAGAACTTTATTTGCTCAATTTTCATTCAAAAGTAAGGAACTTTCTTTATTACAACAGTGTTGAGGGGCACCAAGCGTGCTCTGATATTCTGTTTGACCGGCCTCCCTTTGATCTGGACAGGAAGGCATGAATGAACCCCCTGGAGGTTTTTCTGTGGGTATGACGTCACCTCCTAGTTCTCTTTCCCTCTTTTGACAACTGCAGTGGAGCTGAAAATGCATTTAAAGAGACTCACCCAAAGTGTTGCATGCAACATCTCCTAGGTCACTGAATGGCACAACGTCCCATTACAAGAATCTGTTGTGATCCTTGAAAAATGGATTGATTTAAACTTATATAAGTTGTATTATGAGTTACTTGTTATCATGTCAAGGCTGTGTGACATTCTATAACTCTTTCCCTAATGGATCATATACTGTACATACCATAAAGCAAACATACTGTTAGTACTGCTACTTAAAGGATCGGGTATAACCCAGAACTCTCATGAATTCAGCTGGTTGTTTGCATATTCTTCTTCCTAAAAAGTGCCAAAAACGACTGTAGCTCAACTCTTTGATTTTTCAACCCCTGTTCAGTTTGCCATCGCTCACTCAAAACCTCTCAAATGTAATTTCTGTTAGGATTTCAATAACAAGTTAGGAGTGTAGAATGGCTTCTTTACATGTGGCCACTAGAGGTCCTCAAAAGACCTTTACCTCCAGTTCAGTTTGATCATACAGCTGCACCAAAGATCAAAAGGCCTCAAATTTCAGAGCTCACATTGAAAATGATGCTTGGAAACCTTTCCAAACAGAACAAAACCAATGATAATCCAGCTTTTACTAGGGTAAAAATTGAAATCTGGGATAATTACGGTAATACATTTAACTGCAGGTCATTTTACTGAGTTCTCATGGAATGAGTGATCAAGCAGTTTTGCATGAAACACACAAAGGAATACCTCCACAGGGAACCAACAGTAGAGGATATAACACCGGAAAAACGCTGGTTAATGTCACATTTGAGCAACTAGACAGAGATGCATCATATAAAATAAAAGTTGTCTTTTGGAAAATAAACATTGTGTTTGTGTTCATGTTTCTACTTTCTCTAGATTCTCCCCCTAAAAACTAGAGTATGAAGATGTTGTTTTTGCAACAACTTTTATGTTCCTATTTAATAATAAACTATAAATTAATTAAAAAGTAAATATCCAGACCATTTGGTGCAGGATGTGCTGATGAAAGAGAATGAGGAACTGTTAGACATAAATCCTTCTGTTTCAGCACCATCCCTACATGCTTGAATAATCTTATCATCTTATGCAATCACTCATGTAATATACTCAATCATAGTCAATCAATATTATTGAAAAGTTCCTTTACCACAGTAACTCCACTCACTGTTGAAATAGTGATTACATTATATGGATCAATTACATGCGGACTGATGTTTTTACATCTTTATTTCTGGTATTTATTTTCTTCTTATGGCTTACATAAAAACATTTTATTAAGGAGGAGAATATTGCATTACAGCAATTAAAAAAGGTCTTGTGTTTCTGTATGTTTGTATGTTTAATAATGACTTTAAGGCAGCTCTTTTCAAAATAGCAAATTAATTTGACAAAGCAGAATAAGGCATTTTATAATTGACTGAATATGACTAGGACCGTTCTAATCAGGATTTTTTTTAAATAAGGTTGCACACGTATTTTAAGCTATACATTGCAGCTTTAAGTATATGTGTATAAGTGTAATGCTGATCTCTACAGTCACTAGTTTGTCAGCTCTATGCTGCTGTAGCCCAAGAAATGTCTGCCAGCACAAATGCAAACCCACTCCTATGTAATTATAAAGATTCATTTCTAAGGCAAGGGAAACACAAAGATTGAGACTTTCAGTTAACAGCTGATAACAAATACATCTAACTAATATATGCCATTTATGTCAGATAATCCCGTAATTATTACACAGTGTTCCTTTAGGATTATGGCAGCTAAACTATGCAAAAGTAAAAGACTTTAATTAAAAGCATATCTGAAGGACTCAAAAACTACAGTGAAAGAGTTTAAAGTATTTTAAAAAGACTCCAATCCTTTTACTGGATTGATAAATAAATAACTGAAATAAATATTTATGTTGCATATTTAAAAGCAACTAACAATACGTTTTACAATTAAATGGATCCATAATTTCTTTAGTGAAATAGGATTATAGTTATAGTAATCGATTAGTCTGAATTTATTACTCTTTTTTGTTGTTATATAAAACTTAAGTGTTATTCAGCCACGTAGACAGAAAAAAGTTAAACTAATTTACTAAAAGTCTAAATTGTGTGGGAAGTATGAGTGTTACAAACCTTAAATGCATCTCTTTGTTGCAGAACTCTGTGTTTCCTGGCAGGAGATGAAACAAGATAAAATCTGAAATGCTGAACTTTTATGAAAGATTTGATTAAATACTTTATTGATTCAGAACATTTAATTCCCCTTAGTTATCAACAAGTCTTTTGCCGTCTGGCTGTGACACCTTCCTGGAGAGAAATGCCGTATATCAGCTGTGCTCCTGCCATCAACACCTTTATTCATAGATGTTGGAGATTGGACTATTTTTCAGTGTGGACCTGTTTCTCAGACTGTGACTGGTTGGATCTTTTCTCTTCATCCTCTGACATGGGAGCTGGCTCGGAGTTCGTCTGCCTGGCTGTGTGTTTCCTCGATGGGGCCGGCTTTTTATCTCTGCTTCTTTTTCTATGTCTCTGCTTCTGTCTCCTTGAACCCTAGTCGGCCTCAGCAGATGGCCGCTCACACTGAGCCTGGTTCTGCTGGAGGTTTCTTCCTGTTAAAAGGGAGTTTTTTCCTCCCCACTGTCGCTACAAGCATGCTTGGTGTGATGGATTGCCTTTGAGTTAATGAGGCGATGCAATCAACTGGTTTTCCTTAGATAGAAAACTTTGAATCAATTTGACTGGATGATCTGGTGAACTGGAAAGTGCCTTGAGATGACATGTGTTGTGAATTGGAGCTATATGAATTCATTGAATTGAATCAAATTGAATTTCATTAAGTTTAGTTGACATAAAATCACAATGAAATCCATTTATAGACTGAAAACGTTTGTATCACTAAGATTTTCCACAATTAATGCAGAAATATTTGATATTCCTTTAAGTAGTGTTTCTATCTTGGCTTCAATATTTAAATCCATCCACTCTTTGTTTTATGGTCTTACTTTTTAATAATAAAAATATATATATATATATATCTATATACATATACTCAGATTTACATCAGCAACAACAACGGCAGGTTATAACTTTAAATGCTGCAGGATCACTGGAGCGTCTTCAGCTGCTGGACGTCTGTTCTAGTTGCTAAAGAGCAGCAAACCTAGACCTTTCAGTTGGCAGACGATGTTAAAGTTTCTTATAAAACACTTTTTCATTAGGTCACGCTACATAGGTATAAACATTTTGTCAATCAGCTGTGATTTTCATTTATTTTTCTTGTAAATGGAATTTCCATCCACATAGTTTGGATAGACATTACTTGACTTTCAAATCTGCTTTAAAATGATCTGGTTGTTGTTCTGGTCTGACTGCAGAGTTTTTAATCACATGTGCTGCGTTAGGTGGGGCAGGTGGATATCTGTTTTCCCATATTCCTATATCTCACCAACAATCCTGTGGGAAAGGATGCAGCTCACAGTGAGGAGACAATGACACTGTATACATGAAGTCGGGTAACTGAAAAACATTTTGGACAGATGGTATTCTGCTGCAAACTATATCCAAAAACTTAAAATAATTAAAACCTTTTCTCAAAGTGGGAAATTTTGATACCTCCCCTGCTGGCTGCTTCATATGGAAATCTCTACTCATATTACCAGCTACAATTAGTGTGGTTAGGTTATTCAAGCCTCTCTTAACACACATAAGCAAACACAAACAACAATGAAAAAAAAAAACACAGTGTTTCACAAGTTACTTAAATTATTGCAGATTTTAAAATATTTTGCTCCTCTATGGCATTTCTATGGACTGCCTCGTTGACTTTTATACTAATACCTCAGTTATCATTTCTGAGTTTTCCTGCATTCGGGCTACTTTTTCAGTCCTTCTTCTTTACCTTTATGGTAGTATGACATTAAGTTTTATCACTTATGGTTCCTCTGTTTTATCGGGTTTTTATCTTTGTGTCTTTTTGTCACTTTTTTGCAGGCAAAGTCTACTTCTTAAGGTAGATGTAGCTGGTATCTAGATAAACACTGTAGTTTTGGAACAAACTAAAAATAACAACAAGAAACAGCTACAGTAGGTATCAAAAATAGCTCCTGAAAATTAAGTTCTGCTGTAAAAATTTTCAGAGACCGAGAGTGAAATTGACTTACACACTGGAAAAAAAAACAAAATCTAGATAACTCATTTTTTTCTTAAAATAAGTGCGTTTGCTCTTGAATTAAGGAGGTAAAAGAGACATATTGCCAATGGAACAAGACAATTTACACTTAAAATAAGAAAACACAATTGCTTTGTCTTATTTCAAGAGCATATTATCTTATTTTAAGTGTAAAAATACTCATCATATCATTTGCCTACTCAAATTAAGGGTAAATACACTTAATTTATGAAAGTTTTACTTATTTCTAGATGGTTTTGCAGTGCAGTTAGCTGATCAATTTAAGCACAAACAGGTTTAAATTGGATAATTGAATTAAACTAGGTATACTCTAGGTGTACACAACGAAATTCCAGTCGTAAATCAGGAATTTTAGTTCGATAAGTTTCACTGATATAAAAAATTTAAAATTTTAAAACTGAGAGGCCATTTATTGGGATAGATTTTTATGCATCGAGCTTTGCCTTAAAGTCTCCGCTTTAGAAATGTACCCTCACTCTCATAGAATACAAAGAAAACTGATGACAGGGTTAAAGTAAAAAAATATGTTGCTTCCACTGTGGGACCTCCGACAAAGACAAAGAATTTCACTTGTTTTAGTTTCCCATCAGAGGAAGTTGAAACAAAGAAAAGAAACCCCTGGATAAGCAGACATCTGGTTGGCTGGCCTCCTGAATAAAGCCTCATTCTGGGCAGTAAAAGCGGGACCCATCGTAACACGGCTGTGATATATGGAGGTCTTGGGTGGGAGAAGGGTGTGGGGGTATTAACTTTCACAAGGGTGCAAAATCAAAGGGAGTTCCTGTCACCATGGAGGGGTCTCGGCAACAGGGGTCCCATTCACAGGGAATTCCTCCCCACTGCCCCTGTGATGCAGCTGTTGACTCAATCCAATCTACTGAGAAAAAGAAAACACACATTAAAAAGCCGCATGACTGTGAACTTGATTGCAGCGGGTGGCACAAACGGCCCATCAATGGGATGAGTATTTACTTTGAGGTGTGAAAATCTTTGAACTGCCCCAAGATGTTAGGTCTTTTTTTTTCAAGAGCCTCTTCCTTTTACAGCAGCATCACAATGGACAGCATTTAAATTCTGGAAGCAATCAAATTAACATTTTAATAAAACCCCTCCAGAAGGAATCAGCTGGTGAGAAAGTTAAACTCTACAAAATGAGAAAATATTCAATAAGAAGTTTTAAAAAAAGTTTTCATGACAGTGTTTATTAGAATTTACATTTTGGACAAAACCCAAATAAAACTGTTCAGAATATTTACACATAATTTACAAACATTTTTAAACTTTAAAAGGTTTGGTCTGCAGAACATGATATTGCATTGCCTCCAAGGAGCAGATAAATATGTAAATAAAAAAGTTTAAATGTCCAAACACACACCAATCGCTCAAATCCGTAATCAAAATGGAAGTTATCACCAGCATGATTTGTGCAATTCTTTTATTTATTTGATTTTTAGAGGGAATAATTATTTTTCAACTAATACATTTAGAAATCACGTTAAGGAAGAACCCTGTCACTTTTTTCATTAACTCTAACAAAATCAAATATTTACATAAGGTGAAAAAATAGACTTTTCACACCAGTTGAATTTTAAATAAGATTCACATAATGAATGGGAAAACCCCTTAAACACAGATTTTAATTTAATATTCGTTTCAAGT